TCTGTGCTGAGCAAAGAGAAACTGAAGCAGCTGAGGAGTCAGCAGGGCTGGCCTCACTTTAAGGACGTCTTCATGCTGTCTGCTGTGGACAGAGAGGATGTGGAGACTCTGAAGGTGAGCAGTCACACAAGACAGGGACGCAGGGGGTGTTTAAAGCGCGTTACACCGTAGCTACGCTCACTGCGCTAACTGTCCTGGTAATGTGGAACAAAATAAAGAAAAAAGTACGCTAAGGTAATAACATAAAGTTTCCTACGTATGAGTTATTTGGCTCCTCTCTAATTAAACTAAATAACAAAAGTGGGAAAACATAATTAATGCTGTAAAAAAGAAGAGTATAAGTAAAATAGTTTACATTAAATCTCTACACTAATATAGTTGTTGGAGTCAGCAGCAGAAAAATTACATAACCTGCAAAAGTATTGATAAATATCTGTCATTTTGCTGGATGATAAATTGTCATAATAATAATCTATTGTTGTTCTGAGACCATTTTTACATAAATTGATAATGGCATAATAAAGCAAGTTTGCCCTCATAAAGAGCAACACTTTTACATTTCCGTTAATAAAGAGGGTAAGTTTTGAAACTTTGAAAACCATTCCTGCTTCGTCTCCCTCTTCATAAATATCTTTCCGCTTGTGCCGGTCCAACACATAAAATCTGAATAAATACGTCGAAGTTTGTGGTTGTCACACGTTCAGATGCGAAGACTACCGGACACGACCGTCAGTTATCAATGCATTTCACGTATCGCTTGTTCTTGCAGAGCTACTTCCTGGTTGAAGCCAAGCCCGGACCCTGGAAGTACCACAGCGAGGTTCTGACTGACCAGAGTCCAGAGGACATCTGCACAAACATCATCAGGGAGAAGCTGCTGGAGTATCTGCCACAGGAAGTGCCCTACTCCATGACCCAGGTGAGGGAAACCGTCACAGCACTGTGGCCCGTTTAGCGCACAAGTACATGTTTCATCTTGGGCTGAACCTAACGATTATTTTAGTAATCAATTAATCTGTCAATTATTCTAAAGATCAATCGATTAATAGAAATATTTTTACTTAACCGCTTCAGCCTTTTTTTTTCTTCACAATATTAGAAATACATTAAATGATGCAATTAAATACATAACTCAGTCTTTTATTCATTCAAATAATTGATTAACCACAATTAATCATGATTAATCGAATTAATTGTTTCAGCCCCAAGTTAATAAATGAAGGTTATTTTCTTCATGTCATCGTAAATTAGGCTGCCGTTTCTTCTTGTGTTTTAAATTTTAGTTTTAAAATCTGATTTGTTGTGCTTGTTGCCTCTGGTGTTTTTTGACAGCTTAATTCATCTTAAAGGATTTTATTATATAAAAGCAACACGTATGAAATAAGAACTATAATTACAGCCTCGGATCTCCATTCAGAGCTCTTTTTTTTTTTAACTCCCCAGCTGTTTATTTGACCCAACATTTAGTTTTGTTAATAAGTGCAGATAGTTTCTGTTCTTAAAAATCTGTCTCCGTTTTCAGTCTATTGAACTCTGGCAGGATGGAGAAAACGGGAGCTGGATATTTCCGTGAAACTGCACACCAAGAAAGAAACTCACATGGTAAGTCCTCCAGCGTTTCTGTCTGTCTGGTCGTAAAGCGTCTGGCAGCTTCACGTGCCTGCATGTCCGCTCGGCGGTTGGACATTAACGTCCCCTGTGTTTACCTGCAGTTTGTCATATATACACACTGCATCATGTAGCTGCGGCAGCTGTCCAGCAGCTTAACCCAGAAACGTCTCTGCGGAGACAAACGTGCACGTCCCAGTCGGTGTAAACGCCTGAGACTTTGGCTTTCCTCAAGCCCTTCATCCGGTGACATCACGAGGTCAAAATGTGCAGCTGGACGCTGTTTACAGACAAGCAGCACATAAGTATGCTGATGTTAACATTTATCTGCGTGTAATCTTTAACAGAGGCCTCCCAGAGTCATCCTGGTTGACTGAATGTGACATTTTGTTTAGGATGATTAATTTTATGCTCCATTTTTAGGATGGAAAAGTTAAATTGTTAGTCTGTAACGTGTATTCTGTTTATGTTGCATTCATTGAAACATGAACATTTGACTCAGTTTGGCTTTTTTTTCAACCAAGAAATTTACACAAAGAATCCTTCCATATCAAAGTGAAAACTGATTTCTACAAAACAGTGACAATTAAACAAAAATAGGTTTCATAAAATAAAGTGATTGCGTAAATATTTACTCCCTTTGAAGCGACTGACCTAATTCAACAGAGGGCCAGTCAAATGGTGCTGTTAGTCTCACAATGAGTGGAGTGGGGCTCAGTGACTGTGTGTCAAGTGATTGTAGTGTAAAGACAACTGGAAGATCCTTTCAGTTGTCATCACTTATTTTATGTTACTTTTTTTTAAATTTAATTGTCATTATTTTGTAGAAATCAGTTTAGATAAAAACTGATTTCTGTTGTATAAAAAAAAGCCACATTTTGTTCAACGATTGATTTGTAAAACTAAAAGCAGCAAAACACCTTTTTAAAGGTACTGTTTATACATATCTTCCCCATTTACCCCTATTTTAAACTTCTTCTCTTTTTTTTTAATCTCATATATATTTAATCAACCTTTTTGGACTCTGCATATTAGATGAGAAAGAACATTTGTAGATGCATCTGTGCTGCTGAATGTTTCAAGGCCACTGCCCTCAAAAGGAGTCATATTTAGGAGAACTCGGTTTTCCAGGATGGGTATAGAAAGCGCTGCAAACCGATGTCTGACCAACAGCCTCTGAATAATGTTTTCCATCAAGTTATATTTTCTGGCCTTTCTGGTAATTTCATAGAATGGACACAGAAAAATGTAGTTTATATGCAGTGTAATTGTTTGTAATTTCCAACAGGAAAGCAGGTAGTAAAACATATCACAACGTTGGGTTACAGAAAGAGAGAAACATCTTTACTCCATTTCGATCGATCGTCTGCAGCTCCAGGTAGTCTAAAATGAACTGGACTGTATAAAGGTTTTAAAGCATATGCAGGTTTTAAAACGTCATGGCGTTTAAACCGTAACTTGAAAAAGGGCTGAAATGATTAATCGACTTAATCGTGATGATTTCATTACTGGCCAATATGCAATGGAGGTTAAAAGACATGAAACAAAATACCAATAATAATATGTTATGAATCATATATGTCTGGTAATCATATCAGTTTATCAACCTGGATACCCGGAACCAACATAAAGGGATTTATTGTTCATTTTACCAAATATTTTCTTGCTTTTTTCTGAATCTGTTTTCCATTTTAAATCCATTTCAATTCTTTTTTTGACTTATAACCTGCATTGCAGTAGTTTTTCATTGGAGTAATTTAATATTGAGCTCTTTGGTCAAAAATGTAATTTTTTTAATCGATTAATCGATCAAATCGAATGAAGCCTGTTGCGTCGCTTCTCGGTTCTGCAGAGCATGGTGATCGGCCCGGCCGGCCAGATGGTGGCGCGGATCGCCCGGGAGGCCGGGGAGGACCTGAGCCGGGTCTACCTGAGGGACGTCCGGCTGAAGATCTCTGCCAAGCTGAAGAAGTGAAGAAAGCCCGAGAACTCCTGGGACCTTTTTCCCTCTGCCAAAAGACAGACCCGGTGCTAGAGAGGCGACGGCCTCATCGGGAAATGACCCGGAGCCGGGAGGCAGCATGTGCTCCATCTCGGACCTGGCTTTCACTCCTCCTGTTTTGTTTCAAGAGTTGTCCTCGATTAACCCGTTTGCAGGGACATGTTACTGTATTTAGAAGTGAGGGGCGGCCTGTCCACGCGTTCCTCAGACAACAGCAGAATAAAAACCCAGCTGAAGTGTATTTTTAAGCTCCGGTAGCTCTTTGGTAGCAAACATGACACGGCGGCTCGTCAAGTGGATGTTTTGACGCGGCTTTGACAGCTCCTTCATGGCTGAGCGGGTTTGGCAGGCTGCGAAAAGGCCGAGACGTTTTTATCTTTGGCTCTCAGCGCTTTTTCTCCCCTCGGCGGGCGCAAACGCTGCGCTGTAGATAAACCGAAGGCGAGAGCTGCACCGTCATGTTCACTCACATGTCCCTGATGCACCGTCCAACCCAGTTCCCTCCACTCCCTTTATCACTTTAGCCGTCTCTGCTGCCCTTTGAAGTGCAGCCATCCATCTCTGCGACCATCACTTTCCCTCGTCTTCTCCGTGTTTTTAACGCTCGCTCCGTCCTTTTGGCTCCTATAAAGCCCGACTCTGCCTCCGAGGGCTACATTGTCTCCCTAATGGATGGGGAAAGTGGAGCACTAACCTGATGCTGAAGTGGGTCAGATAATGGGGATTAGATTCATTCCCGCCGCCTGTGGGTTAACTCAGCGGTTCAGGGCATCTTGATGAATAACCAGTAAGAGTCCTGATGTCAGGGAGAGAGTTTCCTCACAGACGCAAGCTGTGTCTGTCCCCCGAACAGCTGCTGAGATCGCTGCCTTAGACCAGCTGACTCCAGCGAGGGCCAGAAAATTTATTTAGGTCTTACGCAGGATGCCCGCGCATTCTTAAACAGTCTACAACTCCTGTAGCTATTTTACAAAAACGTAAATTAGCCTTAGATAAGTTAATCATAATGGTAAATTAAAATTTAATTTCACCACGTCTACTCAACCCCGCATATTTTATGTTTTATTTTTTATTTCTTGCTGAACTTTTCTGTCAGGCAAAAGCTTGAGTCGCCCTCTTCGTTACGATTCTCAAGACGGTTGAAGCTAAGTTTTTTTTTTTACTAGCTAGCTAGCAGGTGTATAGTTTTATACAATACTCGTCATGTATATATTTACTGACTTTAGGGCGATATTCATACACATTCATTCACTCATAACTGTCTTAAAACTATTTTTTAAAGTTAAAAAGTCTTAAGTTTGACTTTTTGAAACCTGTTATGAGTTATGAGAAACCTGTTATAAACACAAAACCATTAAGAGCAGATTGTACAAATGAAGAGGCACTCATGTATGGGAGACAACCACATCATTTTTATTTGACATTATTGGTTTAAATGTAACAAAGCGCCAGCTCGTCCTTTCCCTCGTCGTCATTGAGCGAAGGCCGTGGAACCCTTACCATTACTAAAACTCAGTAATGGTAACGGTTTAACTGCCCCCCTCGGCTGTGTGTTCGGCCCCCTGACGTTTCAGCCCGAGTCTCCTTCGGCGGAGGTGGAATGATACCCTGGATAGTACATCATCTATACTGTAGTGTCTCTTTAAAAAACTTACAGTATAAGATGATATCCTGTCCAGGGCACAAGACAGAACAGCCAATCAGCCAGTCCCTGGCTCGTCGGGAATCTGCAACTAAAAAGAAATTTGGGGTGAAAATGATTTCAAAATACAAATAAATTCAGATCGATTGGCCGCCGCCTCCTGTCTGAGCTGTCCTCACCTGTCTGCACCTTGTTGTTAGACATCTTCATTACAAGTGCTCATGTCTGGTCTATGTCTCCTAACTGCTCAGTCTGTTGGGCTCCAGCACTTAAAAGGTGGCCCCCCTCAGCTCATTAGCATACCGTGATGACATCTGGGGTGGACCAGAGAAGTTTTTTTTTTTTTTTTTTTCCCCTCCTTATCTTCTCTCAACCTGATTGCCACAGTCCAGTAAAGGTCCACACCCTTGTGCCTCGTCCTGAGGCTGTTACATGTGTGGAGACACCACACATGTGTCCTGAATGCAAGAGCGGCGAGAAGAAAGGGACCTTTTAAGAACCCAGTTTGCAGTTTCCTGCAAGCCATGAAGGGAGCATGTTGAAGTTGGATTACACCAAACTGTAATATTTCAATCTGCAGGTGCATTTCCAAATGTAATACTGTCTAAAAGTTTGACAGCTTTTGTCACTCACTTCAAAAAGTGGAAGTTATATCGCACATAATTACAACACATGTAATGAAATGTTTCAGTTCCTCTCATTTCTTATCATTTTGATGATTATGACTTAAAGATCATGAAAAACCCAAATTGTCTCAGGAAATTTGAGCCACAGTCCAAAAAAGGTTAAAGATTTGGCCAAGAAAATAGAAAACGACTGCTAACTCCTCCCCCAAAAATGTGGCAGTAATCTTCTTTATTTTATTGCGGCACTTTGTGTTTTGGATCTTTAAAGATTTATGTAATCCATTAAAAAAAAGTTTATTATTGTGCAGAGTACACAGAAAAAAACAAACTATAAACTAATTTTTGCAGTTTAAATATGCCAATTCTAGTAACAAGGGCAAAAGGTTTGGTACTAAAACTGTCATTCATTTCTTGTGCCGACTTGTTCCTGAACGTCAGAAGCTTGTAGTGTTGGGATAAGGAGAAAAATAGCTGGATTGTTGTTCAGTGCTTAAAATATCCTCTTTTTACATTCAAGTAAATTCCACATTTCATTTGGAAGTCAAGGTCCCAGAATCTGGAGGAAGAGCGAAGGCCAAAGTTTAGTTTATTGCTTTATTTAGAGCCATACAAAAAGAAGAAAACGATGCATGTCACGCCTTTTCCTGGAAGAAAAAATGGCTGCTACACTTTAGAGTACGCAGAAATCTAACTTGTTTGTCCTCTTGAATTTGAAAAAAAGAAACATGGCTACATCACCATGATGCTGCCACCACTATGCTTCACCAAGAGGGCCTTTAAATTTGACTTCTAGCGCAGGCCGCACAGTTCAGACTTTTAGTTTTAACTAATAATAATAATAAAGTAAACGTTTCCCTTTCATTTCACAGTTATGCACTAATTTAAGGTTTCAGCGTCAGACATCGAACTCTGTGGCCGAAACGTAACTAAATGAATCCCTCTATGTACTCAGCCACACTGTTTTCCTTTTTTTTTTCTGACTTGCTGTGCCCTTTGACCTTTCTTGGCTACACTCTAATCAGAAGAATCCCGACAGTCAGCCAAGACAACGTTCCTTCATAAAGCCACCAGGACCTTTATCTCCCCACGTGGAAATCAATCTGCATCTCTCCACTCCTCCGGATCTCCTCGCTGCTGGATTTATGTGCAAAGCGTCCACTGTTTGGAATTTAATACCTCTATATGTCAGCTGAGGTGGCGTTATCTGACTTATTAAAGCCGCCACGTTTCTCTTTCTTTCTCCTTTTTTTTTTTTGTCGTGTCCTCACCCGGGTTGTGGGATGAGGAGGAAGGCGTTCTCATCCTCGTCACGTCCACGGCGTCAAAAATCACGGCTCATCCGTGACGGAGGGCGTTTCCCGCTGCGTTTTTGTCTTTAATCCCCGACAGTTTGTCCACGTGCGTTTAAAAATAAACTGTTTCTTCTTCTTCTTCTTCCTGGAGGAATCAAGTCGTCTGACTTGAAGGTCTTTCAGCTCTGCTCAGCCAGTAAACCGACAGCAGAAAGTTTGGGGAGCTGCGAACTAAAACGGCTTGGGGACAGGAGGGGCGTTTGTCCAGGTGGACTGACTTTTCGAGCGGCATTGATGAATGCCCCCCTCCTCCGAAACCGAGTCATTAATATGGAAATACCCTCCATACTCTTAATGTGCTCCTTCTAAGGTCAGCGTCGTTTATCACACTTCCCCTCCTGAACAAAAATCCAGTACTTTACTCTGGTAATGATGTGAGTGTTCCTCAGAAAGGGCCCGGGTTAGGTGGGACCCGGTGGCTCCTGGTCAGGGTGTGTGTGTGTGTGTGTGTGTGTGTGTGTGTGTGTGTGTGTGTGTGTGTGTGTGTGTGTGTGTGTGTGTGTTGTCCCTCCTGCCGGGGCCGATAAACACACAGGCCCAGATTATCTGGGTGGTTTCCGTGGAGTCCAGAAGCTTTTATCTGCAAGCAGAGAAGCCGCTGCTCTTTCTGCGAGACAGATAAGTTTGTGCCAGTCTGTGATCATTAGAAGACGCTTTCATTGAGTGTTCAGCAAGCTTTAAACGTGCTCAACTGAAACTGGACCAAAATCACCCAGTTAAAAAGAATCGAGAGCCACAAAAAAAAAAGTTTTTCCACCAAAGGGCGGAGAACTGACTTTCATTTTTGGCCGCATCAGATCATTAATATACGTAAAAAGCCGCTTGGTTTTGATTGGTAGTGTTATTCTTCAAGGTAACAACCTTCGATTGTTACCTTGAAGGTTTTATTCATGCAGGTTTAGAAGCCAGTGGGCCTCCTAAAAATCAATGGCCGGCCGGATTCGGCCCCCGACCCTCGAGTTTGACACATGCGTACCGACTCGACATAAAACTAAGCAAGCGTTACTTTAATTAAACAAATAAAGTAGATCTGTGCTTGGAAAGGAAAGTCATTCTAGATGTAAAATATCCAGAATGATGTTTTATTGTTGAAAGTAGATTTGGATGCAGCATGTTCTTCCTCTGGGTAAAAGCTACGTTCGGTTCAGTCGTTATAATTTAGTTGTAATCAAACTTCCTTAGTTCATGAGAAGTAAAACCAGCTTTTTCTTTTCCCACACTCATATTAGATCTTTATTTTTTTTTAATACAGATTAATTAAGAGTTTGGAGACACGTCAACAGATCACACAGGGCTGATGTCCCACGTCAGTTTGTTGGGTTTTCACAAGATGAGGTTTTTCAACTTATGGCCGACTCATTACGGTTCTAACAGCAGATTAGAAAACGTCCTGCAAAGTAACAGAAGATTTTTTTTTTGTGCTGAAAAATGAGCTTCTTATCGGCTGAGATAAGGCTGAACAGAGCTGCGTGCGACGAGAGAGGAGGACAGGACATTTTAATCCTGCTCCGAAGTGGAACTGTGGGTGTTGTCGATATTTGTGAAACCAAACGCGAGCCACTTGTGTTGGTTTAAAAAAAAAAAGGGTAGAGTAAAACAAACTGTGAGAAAGCAGACATTTATTCATTGTTTTATGATTATTTCAAAAAGAAGCTCATCCAAGTCGGTGGTTCCCAAACACTTCCTGTTTCCCATATTAATATCGTAAAACTGTATTTATTTCACATTTGTTATTACAAAGATGGCATCAACAGCCAACTTATTGTGTATAACACAAATAGCTGCCACAATTTTTGTCAGCTTGATTTCTGAAGATCTCAAAATATGTTGACGTATGACCCCCAACTTTGACCTTTTTGCCATTTAGCAGACAGAACAAATTATCCTGCTTCTAAAATTTAGGAACTATTTCCAGCCTGCATATCTGATCAATAGGCTGAATAAAAAACATAAAATCTAAAAAATAAAAAATCCCCACCGTGGTTGGTTCGTGTCCCGTTCCTGACTCTTGTTGCATTTTGTGCTTTTATGATCTGATCATCATCCACCAGCATGAAATGTGTTTTTAATTTCTTCCATAGTTAAGAGCCGCTAACTGTACAAAGACAATAAATGTAATCCAGAATTAAGGTTTTAATCCGGAAAGTAACGATGCGCACTCTGGTTGGTGGAAAAGCTCCTCGACAAACTGTTCATTTTATAGTTTGATCAAAGTGAAGTTGAGGAAATGTCCTTTCTCAGCCGTACAAATGTCACAAGAAATGACGATCACAAATCGGCATAATGCAGCAACAGGACGACTTCAGGTCTAGCAAAGGTTTTGGTCAATCCTCAAAATGCTTGCTTAAAAAGATTCTTGACATCAAGCATTATGTGAGTAAGTTCTTAAAGTTTTTTTTTTTTTTTATAATTTTTTTTCTCCACATTTTTGGCTGATGCCACTTGGAGAAATACCAAGATTGCGTTCTACTTCAATTTCAGTGTTATCCAAGTCTTCTTCTTCTTCTTCTTCTCCAGTACATTTACTGATGGGGATCGTCTGAGCTCCACTCGCATTAAAGTAAGAAGAACTGTCAAAATAAATCGTTTGGTGAGTTAACTTCACAGATAAAAGGCGCCTAGAAACTCTTCAAATAACAGACTAGTGGTTCCATCCATCTTCATAACACTCGGAAAAGTGTTTAAAAAAAATGTCCCTGCAGTGACCTCTACTGGCCTGAACTGGATATGACGGCTCTGTCAGAATGCAATAAATAAGTTATCCTGTGAAGGATCAATATGAACTTTATTAGGGAATTGTACAAATGATTTAATTCATTTTAATTACGTTCATAAGAGAAACTGAACACAGAGACAGACTGAAGGTGATATAACTTTATATTAGAGTGACTCAACACAGAATAACATGAACACATGCTTAATACTCCATGCTGCGCGGCTTCTCCTTACAGCACACGAGAAGCCGCGAAATAAAACCGAACGAAAGCATCAACAGACAGAATAGATGACAATAGACGTGTTTCACACGGAGATGAGAGTTAAGGCATAGTTTGAAAATGTTTTTTTTTGGTGTATTTTCATTTCTTTCTCAAAGGCTACATACACCAAGTCACAATAAGTTGCATCTGATTAGTCAATGGATTTTGCATTCTTTGGCACAAATATGATGGCCAAAACAACCGATGGGGTCAAAAGTTTCAAAATAAAACCTTTTTTTTTTTTTTTTTTTAAACGTATATAGACTTATTTAATAACAATTTAGCTATATATTCAAGTTCATTTTTATCTACAAGATTAGGCGAAAGCACATTTTTAAACAAAAATCCTGTCACTACTCTGAGGTGATAGTCTGCACGGAGCTCGTTACTTCAACAAAGGCACTAAGGAAATCTAATTTCCTAAAATTAAACAAGTATCACAAAGAGGTTCTGTTGAGTGAAAATGTGCGTCGTTGCTGCACAGAATTACAACAAATATAGGTAAGATTATAACATAGATATGTATTTTTTATTTTTATTTTTTTATACAACCTTTAACATAAAAAGTGTGACTGTTAGAAACCGGTGAGACATAATGTGACCGAAGAATGACAGAGGGGGAGAGAGCTGCCAATTATTTAATGTGCAGCCGAATGACATCAGAGTCTTTGAATGATTCTCGCTGACAGGAAAACGATCCATTCTCACCCGCCGGGTCGGAATGACTCACTTCCTGGGAACGGCTGAAAGCCACTGCACTGGCCGACAAACGAAAGAGGAGAACGCGACAAGATTTTAGCGCGCGAATGCGATTCCTGGATCTGTTCAGGCGTAAAAACGCTCAGAGCGTGTTAGAAAACAAAAACAAAACAAAGGGTCTTAAAACTTCACAGAAAGTACAAAAGTCAGAGGCAGAATGTAAGAAAAATGTTTATGGTCACAAACTCGGAAAGTCGTCGTTAAGCTCCTCTCAAAGTGGTTCATCGGCCATTTACCAAAAAAACAAACAAAAAACAAATAAACGACAATAATAAAAGGCAGGCCAAACATTCACAGTATGCTGGACAACACAGATGATTACAAAGTTTTAGATTTCTGACATTATGTAACAACTACAAGCTAGCCTCCCTTTCAGTTTCAGCTAACCCTTCAGAAAACATCAACCTGACTAACAATCTTTACGGTATTAAAACCAGAACATTTACATCACAATCGCTAGGGTCTGACATGATGACAAGAAGTGGATCGGAGGCAATTTGTATTTTTGGGTCCAGCTGCTCAAACTCAGTCATTCATCAGATCCACCAATCAAAAGAGCAACAAAGCGCAGATGTCATGTGAAGTGTTGCCAAACTGATCACATGCTTGTTTTCCAACTCGTGACATTTCATTTCTGCTTTTTCAGCGTGGGATTCACCATGCGATTACTCATGATGCGTACGCCGCTTCAAAGGGGGGGAAATAAGGAAGACGAACAGAGGAGAAATGAAATGGCAGCCTAACGTTTAGCTACTTGAGGTAATAGAAAAGGTTTCAGCAGCCCCAGCTGGGATCCAGGGTCTCCTTTAAGGCTATGTATGGCTTTCTTCTCGCTTCGCAGGTGCAAGTGTGTTCAAACGTGTGATAAAAGTGAGAGAAAAGAAAAAAAAACCCTACCAGATTTACTGTAACCACGTTTGAAAGAAAATAAACTCCATCCATGTTTGACCGGCATAAATCCAAATTAGTGCGCGGAGGTTTGATCAGGCACCAGACATGGGAAACAGACGGGCAACATGATAAACCGCAGTGAGGATGGTCAGACGGCCGATTCAAAAATCCACGTCTTACACTCAGAGGAGGTGGAAGAGATCAAGTCGGAGCTAGGATACTCATCATCAACGACAGACAGGAAGAGGCAGCAGCCGCATCGCCGCACAGCTTCCAGAGGTGAAGCAGCGTCACGGCGCCCGACTTGGATAGTCTTTCACTCCAGCGGGAATCTGGCTCTGATCTGGACTGGAATACATCTCTGGATCTTTAAACACTCTGCTCTGTTTTGGATACCATGTAGAAGTGAATAAGCAGCAGCATCTTAGCTAAGGAGAATGAGGACGAACTAAAACCAAGCTTAGATACAGCTTGATGCCAATATTTCTTTTTCCTATACAAAACTAAAATTCACTTAAAAATTGTTTGAAAAAAACAAAACAAAAAAAAACTTGGTTGGTGTCAAGTATTTCTGGTTGAAGGCAGTTGCAACGAGGGATTATCTGACTGAGAAGCGTCTTCATGCTTCAGGCCTCACTGTCTCATACATCACACAGCCGCTTGGCATTGTGGGCCGGTCATCTTCTGGAGCAGAGGGATCTGTGGGATCAGAAGGATTGTTGCAATAAATGTGGAGCATGGAAACTGATTTTCTTCTATCATGTACATAGAAGCCTTGAAACTCAAGGACCTTTCAAGGATATTCAGGTAAGTTTGCAAACTTTTTCCAGCACTGCACTTTGGAGATAAAAACCAGGCAAACTAACACTTCCCTTTTATACAATATAATCCATTACTGTTATTAATAATGTGTTATTAATTTGAATTGTATTCTACAGTCTTGGTAAACAAAGATTTTGAAATATCTCTCTCACAAACCCTATACAAAATTTAACAAAAATTCCTCACGTATAAACTATTATTCTGTTACACAGATCAATCAGTGATTGAGCCGCTAAGAATAATAAATATTCACTAAATTAAATCAATTCATGCTAAAAATCATGCTAAGGTAAATTACTTTCCTGCTCAGATTAAATGATTGAACACAATATACAAAGAATGTTACAAAAGCATCTCTAAAAAAATGTTCTCACAAGGTTTTCCTGCATTTAGCAAATAGAAATAATTTAGCTAATTCTCCACTGATCTAAAACAAGAGAAGTTTAGTCTGATTGAACTTCAGACTAAGTTAAATGTATGTTCACGTGTCTTTCTATTAGGTGTGTGAAAATATCCGATTTCAACTGTAAATAACATTCTCCAAATTTGGACTTTATTGCAAAACTGTACAGTTTGGATCTCAAGAGCTCTCTAGGACTTTATACAGAAATCAAGCACTTTCCAAAACTGTATTTACCTGTTCATGACTCATAGGCTAGAAAGAAATATTCTGAATGCCTTCGGATGATTTTGAATAAAAAAACAGAAATTGGATCAATCTGATCAAAGCCCTACAAAAAAATAAATAAATCTGAGTTTGAAAACGCGTCACAAACCTCTTTGGTTTTAGCTCGTAATGGAACATCTTTCCACAAGAAAAAAAAAAAAAAAGGTAAATAAATGACTAATCGTCGAGACAAAACGTTGAGTTAAGGCAGATCAGGTGAAGCAAAGGGACAGAGGAAGACTGGAGCGCTCACCTTGGTCAGATCTACCCCAGTGAGGGCGTTGACGGAGACGGGGAGTTCAGCTAGAAGTCGAGTCACCTCTCCGGTGACGCGGCTGCCTTCGCCACTCAGGATGACGATCTCGCTGGTCTTGGCCAGAGGAGCAGCCACCTTACTGGTAATCTGCAAAACACACAAGGAAAACGTTAAAGCCTCCAGCACTGGACCGGCATCCACTGGAGGGAATCAGAAGGATATGTTTGAATGGAAGAGAAACATCAACATGTTCCACTTCAATTTAACAAGAGACACATTCATTCAGGGACTCATATGATGATTGTATTAGTTACGGATTATTCTGGAGATTATTTTTTTGGGATTAACTGATTAGTTATTTGTCAGCAAAAGGTGCTTAAAGGGATTTTTTTTTGCTGCAGACTTTGAACCAGGTGCGGCTAAAACTACGCCACTTGAGAGCTGGCAGAGTTTTAATAGAGCTTAATCACAGACACAGGCCTTTTTAATCTAAAATTCAAAATGTGTACAATTTTTGCAGTTTTAGCTTGATTACTGCTTCGAGTATGTTCTTTTTTTTTCTTTTTGTCTGTGTGCTCCAGTTAATGATTAACAGATTTGTAAATCAGTTGATAATTTCTCCAAAATGGAATCGATTACGATCAATCGTTTCAGCCCTACATTAAATGCTGGTTTACATGGCAATCGGTTCGTGCAACATGGAACTGATTTAATGCTACATTAGCATAAACGGCTACGTTACGTGAACAAAACATACTGAGCAACGGACTGAAATGAATATAATTTACAAGTCGACTTACTGCAGTGACCAAGAAATACATGAGTAGAAGAGAAATGTTCTGAGGGTTAAGACAGACTGAGACCCAGATGTAAATAATGGCGTAGCGCAGACCTTAGGCAGAGCGTCCAGCACCAGCGCCGTCTTGGCAGCTTCTCCGTACTGCTGGTAGGCTTCAGCCTTCAGCCTCATCTTCTCAGCCTCTGCTTTGCCCACAGCTTCAATAGAAGCTGCTTCAGCCTCACCAATGCAACGGATCTTCTCAGCTTCTGCCTGCGCCGTCAGCACCTTCTTGATCCTGGGATGAGACACCGGAAGCAGAAATGGGTCACGAGTGACTGGTAATGTTGGCAGGCCTCTGCCATATGCCAAACGACTTCTCTACATACAACCAAATGTAACTGTGTTGGCACAAATGCTTATTTTAGTGTTTAGAGGGAGGCTCCAGTTAGTTTAAGGGCACAACAATATTTTCACTGGAAACTAGACCAAAATAACTTGGTGAGATTTTGTGCTTTTGCAGTGTAAGTTAGTCTAGATTAAGCACAGACAACTTTAAACACAGCTAGAAAAGCAAAATGATTGTTTCACAAAAAATGAGTCCATTAATTCCCGGGCTGTGTAAAACTAAATGAAACGTACTTCTGTCCCTCGGCCAGCTGCTGCATCTTGTAGGCTTCAGCCTCTGCAGGTCTCCTCACGGTTGCAATGAGCTCCTTTTCAGTTCGATCGATCTCCTTCTCCTCGATAGTGATCTGCTTCTTCCTCTGCACCACCTCGATCTCGATCTCCTCCAGACGGATCTTCTGCTGCTCCTTGGCCGCCTGCAGCTCATACGCCAGCTGAGCCTCTGCTTTCTGCAAGGGATATTAGGTTGTTTTTTTGGGAACTACCTCTAGAATGTCAGTCGTCTGTTTTGAATTTTACAGAATGTGTTGCACTCGATACCTTTGTGTTCACTTCCTGGTTGAAGGAGGCTTTCTGCATCTCCAGCTCTCGTTTGGAGTCGGCCATCTTTGTGTCTGCGACGAATTTGACGTCCATCATTTCTTTCTTACACTCAGCTTCCTGAAAACAAAAGAAGAAAAATTACAAACGGTTAAATGAAGACGATCGGCGGATGGGAAAGGCATCTTCTTCTTGAAGCTCGTCTTACCCTGATGCCTGCATCTCTCTCTGCCTCTGCCACGCCGATGTCTGCGTCCCTCTGCACTGCGGCTGTCTGCGTTTTCCCCAGGGAGCTCAGGTACTCCACTTTATCGTAAACATCCTGTCAGCAGGGAAAATAAACAGAGAGGCTCAAAACAGTAAGTGGTGGGAATATTCCGTGGGTGTGGCAAGCAGAATTAAAGCCCAACAAAACCAGACAATCAACCCGATACACACCTTGATGGTGAAGCTGAGGATCTCGATGCCCATTCGGCCAACATCAGGAGCAGCCACCTCCCTCACCAGAGACGCAAACTTGTCTCTGTCCTGGTAAATCTGTTCAACTGTGAGGGTACCTGAAGATCAAAGGGATCATTATGGCCTTAATTAAGTGCTTTAAAACAAGCTTGTACTTGTAAGTTAGTTTTAATTACTTCGATTGTACTATATTTGCACTAGAAACTAAATCAGAAAACACATGTTCTCGCAGCATAAATGAGCTTAGATTTAATGTATTTCTTTGCATCTTATTGCCTCTAGTTTTTTGTTGTTGTTTTTTTTACTATTTTTACTGTGACTGCTGTCTGAGAAAGGTGCTACTTTAATAAAATGTACTTACTATTCACCCTTTTACTAGGACATTTAACCATCTAACCTATAAAGTAGATTATTTCAAGCTAGTAACAACCTGAGTGATAATCTGAAAGACTGAGGAATTTTTAAATATTACTCCTTCACTCTAACTTAAATGTGATAACTGGCTGGAATCCCCTTTGTTGAGAAGCCTCCATTGATCTCCTTTAGTAATTCTCTATCTACTACAGGTAAGCTATTTACAGCCAATAACTCCTGCATAGAACCAAACTTCAAAACTCCAAACTATTCCACTAGCAAAACATACGACATTTTAACCACATGGGTCCAAAGTAAAAAAAAAAAGACCAACAATATAGAAAAGAATTGACAACCAAAAAGATTTGGAAATTGTCTGTTTTTCAAAAGTCCAAAGTCGTTTTAATGTTTTGGCTCTTTAATGATATGCAGATTTCATTAAAAAAAAAAAAGTTTATTGTTGAGCAGGTAAAACAAACATAAATAAAACAAATAATTTTAAAAAAAATCTACGTTATTTTTGCGTTTTTAATTGATTGAATTTTGTGACCTTAAAGTAGCAGTCACAGTCCAGACAAAAACCCAATGGAGACTTTGTGACAGTAATCCATCTGATCTTTTTGTCTTTTAATGTGATAAACCAATTAACACACTCCCCAAAAAGTCCTGCAGTCTTTCCTCTTCCTGCATCTCCCAGAATGCTGTGCAGTTCTGTGTCAGCTTTTGATGAAATGATTGAACATCGTATCAGACAATATGCCTTATTATTACCATTATTATACTGATATTAATGACGTATAGATCTTCAGCCCTAAAGTACACTGAACGTTTTTAACACGTATTTATTAAAAAAAAAAAACAAAAAGCATTTTGAATCCATCCATTTCAGAGATAAACATGATTCTGTGCTACCTTATCGCATAAAATCCAGTTAAACTACCATGTAGTTTGTGTTTTTAACAGGGCTAACAGTTCAGACACTGAAAACAGCCATCTCAACTTGAGGAAAAACCCACCAAGGATGGCACGCAGGTGACCCTCCAGGGTCTGCAGGATGACGCTCTTGATCTCCATCACAGACTTCCCCAGGAACTGTTCACAGGCGAAGCCCAGCAGTTCGTTTTCCGTCATCACCTTCACCTAGTGCCAGCATGGACACAGATTGTCAGCTGAACACATATTCACAAGCCCGGGAGCGAGCGGCATGCATGAAAACGTGTTAGCTTTTCTGCTATCTGCGGGCAAACACACACCGTCCTTCCATATTCACTTTCACGTCATCACTGGGGTATTACAAACAGGTGACTGAACGCAGTGAATCATCACAGAAAAGGTGATAAAACTGGCGACGTTACTCAGCTCAGTGACATGAATGCACGAATAGTGAGTTTTTGAAAGACGTTTTAAACTTTTTACAACTGACGGCGGGCTGCAAAATATCATTCCTCCACATTGAAATGGGTTTGTTCAAAACTATTTCCACATGAATCCCCAAAGTTAATGCGTTTTTGGTATATATAAAACCAAATTACATGGCCAGACTTTATCTTTGTGACTTTCTGAATCAAAATCCAACTCATTTTTAAATTACGAGCACTTTACAATAAAAATACCACATATAAAGCTACATTTTACTCCAAATCTACTTACCTAATCAAAAGATTAGCAGAGATTTAGTTTAAAATGTCATTTAAATAGAGTATATTTAGTTTTACCTTTGAGTAATAACTGCACTCTGCTCACAAAGCTGCAAACAATGTAAATCATTTAAAAGACAACTCATAAAGAAACTGCATTTAACCTGAGATCTAGAAAATGAAGGCATTCAAAGGTCATCTAAAAGATTTAGCCTGATAATGTCGTCCACAGGAGCTGAAACAATACAAAAGACAGTGAGCTGGGTCCTTAGGCGAGAGGTCTGCACATGGTTTTGCTTTACAACATGCACTCCACTCCAGAAATGAGGGAAACACAAAGTCAGGAAAAGATGGTCGTCATTCCAAGGAAACTCTGTCTGCAAACAGAGGAGGCCGCAAGCCCACCACATCAACACATACATGCCGGCGCAAACAGACAGCAGGGGGAGCTGTGCCACGACTCAGGCTTACACAAGGACTTGTGAGTTGTGATGGAAACCTTCCTATCTGTTATGCGACACCATCTTTTTGTTCCTCCAACTTATGTCTTATTAAAAACGGACATATTAGGTACTTATTCCAAAACTTAAAATGAACTTCAAAACTAATTTAGGTTGTAGGGGAAAATGTAAAATCAGGTGAATATTCAGATTCAAATAATAAATTTGTAGTAAAATAAAAAGTCCAATCTCAACATGGACATTATGACTCTCAGCATGTTGAACTCCTCAAATCCAGACATGTTAAACTGTGGAGGAACTTATGACTTGTTGCCTTGGAAAACGCCACAATGGCTCTGGATTAGGTTGGGCCAATCAAATGGTTCCCAGGATGAGCCGCTGGGTTAAACTGTGAGAGTGAGAGGAGTTGTTTAGCAGCAGACAGTGGGCTCATTGTCAGTTACAGCTAGGGAAACGGAAAAGGGAACAGTCTCATCGCTGTGGCTAGAACAGAGATTTTATAATCTCACTCTGTCATGCAGACGGGAAGAAAGAAAATGAAACAAAGAGATGGATATCATTTGGAGAAAAAAAATGCTGCCAACAGTGTTTCACAGTTTTAAAGAGAAAATCCACTAGCATCCCTCGGGAAGCTGACAGGTTTGCTTCTTGAACAAAGTAGATTTTTAATCTGTCTAAAATCAGAAACCTAGTGCAACAGAGTGGTTGTAAAAAACATTTTAGTACAAAATCAGTAACATATTAACATAGTATGTCCTGTTTTAAATGACACAGTGATGGCTTTCCTCCTGTTTGGCCATGTGGTTTATTTTGACCATATTAGACTAAAGCGAGGCTCTAAGAACAAATCAAAAACATGTCTTTAGTGATGTCACAACATGGATCACAGGCTCTTGGAAAAAGGAAATTTGATCCTAAGCAGAAGTAGTTAAACTGGTTTCTCACGAGCTCAGACAACAAAGACATGGTTTGCCTTTAGATAGTCAAACAGTACGTCTGTCACCACCGAGATCTTGATGGATTTGAATTTTGTTTTTACAACACACAAAAATAATAGTGTGCCCACAGCATTTATGGATCTGTCACAGCATGACCTTAAAAAGATAGTGGATTTTGTCTTTAATATTGTCTTTGTTTTCAAACAAAAACCGTATTTTGGCACTGAACAAGTCCGGGCTGATGCTGTTTCAAACAAAGTGTGAATGACCTGAGAGTCTAATATAAAGACTCAACACAAACTGAATTACAATCCAATGTAGTTTAGGGTCTTTATTGCTTTTTGTGTTGGTAAATAAGCCCTCTGACTGGTTCGTGTTTTAGACTGACAGTGATTTTCCACTCCATGGTATGGTTCGACCGTGTTCATAGATCAACATGACAACGATTTCCTGCTTTGCTTCTCACAGTATCCTCTTGTTGTTGGCAGAATAAGCTGTTTATTCTCTCAGTGTGCTCAAGGCTTTTTTAAATTCTTTTGAGAAAACACACACTTCCCTGAATGCAATAACATTTCACACACCTCCACTTTGGATGTGCATTTTAAAACTAAGAATTATGAAGGAGTAGGAAGTAGATACCGAACTTAATCACTTTGTGAAAAAGCAACAGAGAAGGATTTGAATAACACTTATTAATGTATGTACTCCAACGAATATATGCAGTAAATTTTTGCACACGGACTGCAAAATTTAACTGATGTATTTTTTTTTTTCCCACCCTTTACAATTATGTTCATAGTGCAATAGAGACTACGCCTGCTGCTGCAGCTTCAGCAGCAGGGATAGAAAGGAAAACTCTGTACAAAGCAGCTAAAACATAATTTCATTTTATGATATACAAAGCAAAGTGCTACATTTATAGGGAATGAGAAAAAATTTTGTTTTCTTTAGTAAAATTTCTCCATTAACTGGAATTTGATTAAAATTTTACAAGCTGAATTATCAAACATTGATCAAGAGTACAAATGCTAGCATTAGCTCAGCACTTTAGCTAACTGCCTTTGCTCAACAGCAGCTTTATACATCTAATTATTTAGATACAAAAGATAATCCTGCAGAAACTCCCTTTGACAGATAATACCTGTTGGTACCAAGAAAAACAGAGGCTGCAGTAAATTAAGAACATAATTATAGTACTTACATACACCACATAAGGGTGATAAAACAAAGTATCTTTCTGCACTTTAAACCTACTGAGTTATTAAATGCGGTGTCGGATTGAATTTCTCTACTGTAAAAAGATTCTGATCGGGGCACACCTAGACATTATAATTGGATTCCTGGAAGGTTTTGCTGGCTACAATAACAAAAAAATAGAAGAAAAATAAAAGCTTTTAAAACCTCACAGTTGGTTTCCAGCAGATTACATGCAGATTAGAGGCAAACAAAATGAGGCCGTCACAGTTTTAGCAAAATGCCTTGAAAGCCTGAAGAGAATTTGAATCCAGGTAGGTAAGAGGAAAAAAACTGTAAAGTAAATACCTCATTAGTTTTGCTTTATCCTACTTTGGTTTCAGTACACAAAGTGCCCACTCTATTTCAAGCTAAAATAGTCAATACCGTACCATGTAATGGAAAACTGGCACATGGCCATACACTGTAGTCAGAAAAATGCTTTTCCTTTGGATTCAAGTTGAGGTGAAAGAAACTTACTAACACTGTCTCTCAGTTTTCTTGGGGCAGCTTATTGATGCTTATTTCTACCACATGGTAGAAATAAGCATTGAGAATAAAGGAAAATTCACAAAAATCTGCTGCCTATGTAAGCTTTAAAGTTTTGGATATTTTCACTGTGGATCATTTACCTTTAAATAAAACATTACAGCCCTGAAATGAGCATAAACATAACACTGTATGCAGCTAATCAGGGGATTTCAGCTCGATGCATTCTGTTTTGGGATAATATAAAATCATGCAAACAATTTAGCCCAAAGTCTGAGTGAATCTTGAAATCTGTACATAAAACTCCTCGTCTGCTTTGATTTCTGGCTTTCCTGCCAAAGAAAGGAAGGTATGGGTAGAGGGGTTAGTGGAGTCTGATCTGGCATTCCCAGAAAAGTGTGATGATTTACCTGAGCCACCCCAGTGACAGTTATAGCTACACCCTCCGCTGTCTCTACATCCTCACACTTGGGCTGCAGGGTCATAATCTCAAGCGTTATCCTGTGAAGAATGTGAAAAAATATAAAATAAAATTTGACATGTATGCAGGGAGAGGAAATGAACGGAAGGGACAGATTACACACAACAAAAAAGGAACAAAAGTGAAACCATTCACCCAAGGACTCCAGATCACCAGCAGCAGAGCAACAAGACACTTAATGCAGAATTCAGACTCCTTCGAATTCTGATGTAATTCAGGATTACGCAAGAGGAAATGCAGCACAACTTTCTTTGGCACTGAACTCTTCAGATCCCCCATTAGTGGCCAAACAGAGATTTTATTGGCTAGTTTGTTAGTGGCACCATTCTCCTTTGCCTGTCTTTGGCCTTTTTTGGACCTGTTCAAGTGCATTACCTGAGCCACCCCTGTCACAGCCAAGGGAACACCCTCCGAGGTTTCGATATTCTCACAGCGACAGAGGATGGTCATAATCTCCAGAGACATTCTATGCAGACAGGCAGGCAGGCAGGCAGCGGGTATAGCATAGGCAAAACAGTAAGTTGGACAACAGTTGTTAGGAACGTCAATAACCATCGACAAGTAAAAGAGGGAAGGGAGACGGGGGCAAACACACTGCACAACTTTGCCTTTTTCTTACCAGATTTCATTCTGACAGTTAATCAAAAGAGAGCATCATAAATTAAAAAGCCAATTTAATATTTCTAGCTGATCCTATTTTGATTATATTTTTTGTTTAAAGTGTCAGAGCTGGAAATAAGAGCCTGCTTGCAGCTCAACCTACAGTACTTTCCAGCTGGATCAATGAGTCAGATCCTTGAGCATTAAGATAATTGCTGCATTTAAACAGGAAGTCAGGCTCCCACTACTTCAGAATGCCCTCTATGCTACATGGTACAAACAGAACTTTAAGCACATAGTATGGGATGCACATTAAAATAAAACAGAAGCTGAAGACAGTGAAGAATCTCTGGGACGGTTTAAATCTGAATGTCGCATCATCGTTTAGGTTTGGTCTATCCTCAGGTTTCCGAGCAATCACAGACAAAAAGCAGCACTTAATGTGAAACGAGGGACTTTAGGTTTTAATGCTGAGACAGGCTGATCAAAGACAAAGCAAAGCCTGTTAGATAAGCACACACAAGGAGCGAGGCAGACAAATTATAAAGCCATTTACAACTGGAAACTCAAACATGGAAGATAGAGTCACTTTCATTTTTAGATTATTTCTAAATAGGAAATAAAAGTATTGTATTTTTTTATGTAAAAGTAAACTAAGATTAATTTGTCTTTTTTTAATCTCGCATTTCAGATTCATTTTAGGAAACAAGAATTATAATTCTGATAAGAGCTTATGTTGTTATAACCCCTGATAAAAAAAAAAATTAAAACCACTCTGAGTGAGATTCTGTTGGAAAATAATAGTCAATCAAACTATGGCTACATTTTATGGCAATCTTTAAAGAGATTAGAAAAACTGTTGAAATATCTTAAGGCAGGCAGTTTTCTTTTCCAGTGGAAAAAACTCAAGTAGAAAAATGACTAAAACTGCAAAAAGGACAAACTGGTTAAATATCAGATTCTTCTAAAGTCAGCAAATGTTACTGACATCTGTTGTAGTTTAGCAATTAAATCAGATGGTTTTTCTATAAACAAAAACATGGCAAACACAGTGCAGGAAAAAACTCTATTTAATAAACCAACAATTTACTTAATCTAATAACCAAACCTTCATAACTAAATAATAATGCAAAGTAGTTCATCCAAATTATGTATTTGCCAACTCCACTGCAGGATTTTTTTAATAACGTTGTTAACAGGAACTACAAGTTCATGACCCACAACGGCAACAGAAGATTCGTCCTCCCAATGTGCTGCATAAACAAGACTCGCCTTTAATCTGATTTTATGTAAATTTAGAAGAATGCAAATAAGAACGGTCACTGAGAATGGAAAGATTTAACATGGTGTAAAGAACATGAATGGGAGAGAAGAAATCTAATTATTAAAAAACAATTATGTAATCATATAAACAAATATTTATGTTAATAAAGAGAAAGTATAATTTAGTAAAATTATATCAAAATCCATTTGATCTTGATAATAACATGAGTGAAAGTTGTTTGGATACTTCTTTTTAGTTGACCCTAGAAATAAATAGCCAGTTAAAGCAGTTATTCTTAGTCATAAGACAGGTCTCTGATGTGGACAGTTTATGGCCTCGTGCTCTGACAACACAATCAGGAAATGAGCCTCTGTTATGAGACAGGTTCTTACCTCTGGATGTCAGAGATGAGCCACCAGGCCCAAGCCCAGCCCCCCACGACATACGTCTTCTGATCCGAGCCACAGCAGCCACCTTTACACACATTGAAGAGGGGGCACATGGTTGTCATCATGTAAAATATCCAAATATAAAACACAGCTGGTATGTTCTAATTTTTTAGACGACTACTTCAAAACGTTCTAAATCGAAATCCCGAAGAACATTTTCAATCCAGAAATAATAATGTGCTTTTGAAAAAAAACAAACAAACAGTCAATACATAAACTTTTGTTTTTTTTCCCCCCCTTTTAGCAGAATGAGTTAAAGGGGAAGTTTGTGAGCAGAAAGGTGTCTCGCACTTCATTTCTCATTTCACCTGCAGTTCCCACAAGTTCCGTTGCCGTTGATTTTCACAGAGTCGTTTCATCTCGCTAAATAATTTGAGGTTGCACTAGTTGAGGTAAAACAGCCTGCAAAAGTCTTGCACCTTGTGATTTGATGACAAACATTCCACACGATTGTCTGACCTTGTCGCCTCGACGCTAAATCAAGACAACATTTACAATAAGTTTGGAATCTTTCGAGTTGGGAAACGTGCCAATAGCAAAACAAGCCACGGCCTTTCAGACTGATTTAATCTGGACTCTTTAGTGTGACATTCCCAGCTGTCACACGTTAACTGACAGGCAAAGGAAAGGGAGATCTATATTTACAGTCTCAAAAAACACGACTGACACAACCGATAATTGCAGGACCTACTGGCCCACACATCTTCAGCTGTCGCACAAGGACCAAAGACTCTTCGTAACTGTTCTTGTGACATGTCATGTCACAGGCAGAAGTGTCACTGTTGGACAAAGGGTCATTTCCAAAAACCTGAACTTCAAAGGGAATTCAGAAACTAATAGTGGCTGTAGTCATACTCATGCAAGGACACTCTCTTTTACCTTAAATTTTAAGTATAATGCTAACTGCTCAGGTCACCGATAGAAACACACCAGCTACAAACCGATTTAGACAGCAGGGGGAGGGAGGGTTCCTGGTTAATAACATGGAATTTACAGAGTGAAAATAATATAAAAATAATAATATATAATGATAAAATAATTTGATTGCTATTTTCACCCTGTGGTTTGACTGTAAAGTATTTATTTTGTATTTAGCTTAAACAGTTTTGATTTTTTTTTTTTTAAAATCACTGTATTTTCGCATTTTCCCATTCAAATGCTCGGAAGCCGGTGAACAGCTTCTCGCTGACTGGCATTATATGAGAACATGTTCCTCCTGTCTGTACGTCGCCAATAAAGTGGTTAAAAAACATGTAATATGTGAACTGATTTTCCATAATTTAGCTCATGTATAATGTACAGTGTTCTTGTCACCAACTGTGTGTGTAATGAGTTTCAGGCAGTTCGCTTGCCTCATGGCAGGGGGCGCTCATAATCCCAGACATTGTGATTCTACAATGTCAGGGAACATTCAACTCGAAATGGTTTTGAGTTGTATGTTAACGGTTTTTCTTTTTTCTGTAGCGCACAGCATGAAATTAATAATATCTACATGTCTACGTTTGATTGAGCTAACGGACTTATTCTACGGCGGCAGCACGGCTATGAATGAGATGTAAAAGAATTGTTCTATTTTGTGCAGCTTTGTCCGCATGCACAAAATGTCCTTATGTAATCAATAACATGCAGGGGGTCTATATTTGTAAATATACTTGTGACTAAATCGGTGCCTCACCAGCTATAAACCTCACCACACATCACTGCACCACACATATCTGATAATAAACTACACATCCTCTCCTTTCAAGAAGCTAGAAAATGCTTATTTTCTATATCAACTAGTCCTGGTTTCAAATGTGGAGCTTATCATTTTACTCAGCTCTAGTCTCAAGCTCCAATGTTTCATGCTGCTGGTAAATGTTTTGTTTTCACAATGAAGCTTAAATGAGTGAGTGAGTGAGTGAGGAAGAGGCCCTCACAGATTCAGTAAAAGGGGCAGAAAATCTGTACAACAAACCCAACCAAAGGTTTCAGCAAACCATGGATCTGCCACAAGTGTGAAGAAACAGAGAGGTTTTAAAATATTAGTTTCAAAGATCAAAAACTCCCTGATACCATTGGTGTTTATACCGTGACAGTAACATTTTGCTATGAACAATTTTCTTGCTCACATCCATGAATGTAATACAAGCGCAAGGCAGGCTTGAAATTACACCAAACTATTGGCCAATTTTACCACAATACATAAAACATTTGTTTTCCAATTTACTGAATGCATCACAACTTAAAGCTCTCTCTATTTCAAGTCTATAAAAAGGGTCAACCACCACCATGCACTTTGCACGTTTCTATGGATAACAAATTCGACAAAAAAAATGCAATTCCTTCAAAATTACTACTTTTTTTTTCTCACATAAATACCGTATTATAGTCCTTATGGGGGAAAAAGTAATCAATTAAAATCAGAATTGGTAGTTGACATCAATTAGAAAAGTGTATCTTTGTCTGACAGGGTGAAAATAGCAATCTTTGTCTGATTTTGTTCAGAACAAGTTTTGTGTTTGACTCCAATTTTGCATTTATGAACTTGATACACACATATATTTCTCTCTGTAAAGAGAGCCATATATATCTATGTATACATCTATATATACATCTATATATACATAGATATATAGATATATATATAGAGCCCAATGTCAGGGGCTTAAGAAACATGAGCTCTGCAGACCAGACAGAGTCAGTATAGTGTAATGTACCCGCCCTCCTAATTTAATTACCTCTCTTTCTTCAGGAGAGCAGCACCATATTTTTTTATGGGAAAACATACAATTATGCTCAACATTTATTGCTCTTAAATCTACTTTTATTATGCACAGTGTATGAACAAAATAGCTGCTTAATTTGAGCAAAGTAACCCATTCTAAAAGTTAATAATACATATAAAGGAAAATGGCTGCAACCAAAAATTATTAAATCTATTTGCCACATACTGCAGGGATGTAATATAGATGAAATGAGGACTTTTTAAACATCTTGAGCAGATCGCACTGCATTAAAACATCGAGGGAATATTGCTATGGGAACACACTGTACATACGCGAAAATATGGCGGACATGATCGTCCCAGTCGCAAAATAATTATATATTAAATTCAAACAATCATTAAACCTGCCATTTCCGCTTTAGAAGGAACGGGGGAGAATATGTGGACTTAAAATAAACCGAAGGCATTCATTTGTTGTCACACAATTTATAATACTCGGGGATTTTGTCCAACGGGAGCGCTTTGATTTTCTTTTTTTCTAATTAAAAAAGGAGCAAATAATGTAACCGTTAAGCTAGCTTCGGTGTTATTTCATAGCTTCTCGTAAAGTGTGCTGTATCGAGAGAGTGACGGGAAAACACGGCGTCACAGAAACGTTCACGTTACCTGAAACAACGAGGGCCTCGTTCGGTCCGACCGTGTGGCAATTTCCCATTTTGTCGACTCAAAACAAAAAACGTGAGTCCACACCGCCTTAAAACATACAAAAAAAAACACAAATATTTTTGTTTGTAAACTTCAGTCCGTCGCTTTAAGCGCAGCCCTCTTCACGCCCCTACCGTAAAATACGGGAGGAGGGTTTTTTTTTTTCTTTTCCCCCTTTTTCACTTTTTTTTTTTCCAAAATGGAGAACCGGAGGATACGTCTTTCAACGCGGAAGCTGGAGTACTTCCGCTGCGTACTTACAAAATAAAAGTCTTCCTGGGTAACGCTTTTTTGAGGTAGATTATTCTGAACGCCTCGACGTTGTGTTTTTTGTTTGGTTTCGCGTTAACTTGACTGACTGAAACAGCTACCACTCCCATCCAGGATTACTGGGTCGACCACTGTGGGCGTGGTAGTGTAAATATCCGCACAAGGAATTCTAAACAGGATCCCTGTTACTTTACAAGAGGGGACTTGTGTTCATGAGTTCTCACATGACATATGTGTCACCCAAGATCAATTGTGTAAACGGAGGAGGAAGGAGCTGCTACAGATAAAACTGAAAAAAAAAGACATCTAACAAATATTGTGGAGGATTTTGACAACTAGAAAGCTTTTGATTTCTATGTTATAAACATTGCAAACAAAAACAATGCAAAAATCTATTGCTTGCACATCTTTTTTTTAACTAAGAGATGTGCAGAACTGGGACTATTTTTATTTATTTATTTCTCATTTTGGCACATTTAAGTATTGCATGCGGCTTAATTTAATTTAATACCTTAGGGCCACATTCAGCATGACACAAATCACCTTCCTAAATGGCTGAAGCATGTGTGTTTGTATTTGTTTGTGCAGCGTCTGCGGCCCAGCTCCACCGCTCACCATCCTCACTGCCTCTCCTCCATCTATCAAATTACTTGTTGCATCATTCTCCAGCTTCCACCAGGGTTGGCTGTGGCACAGAGGTCCTGAGAATCTGTGACGTTCCTATTGTGTATCCATGCTCCAGAGGCTTGATTTATTTTTATTTTTTCCCCCCTCTTATCCAAAAATAAAACATCAGCATTTTCACAGACTCCAGGATGGTTCTTTTAATATCTGGTGATGCGGCTAAAGAAAAATTGTATTCAACATCCGATGAAAGAGCTGAATTTAAATAAAAGCCTAATGGTTAGGCTTTACAGTAGTAGAATAGAAGGTGATATTCTTTTGTACAATCGCAGTATTTACACCCCTTGAATATTTTCGCATTTTGTCACATCACAACCGCACGATTCAGTGTCGTTTATGGGGGGTTTTATGTGAAAGACCAACACAGAGCAGAACACAATGCTAAAGTAGACTGAAAACAAACACAAAGGCAACAGATTCAGACCCTTGACCAATCCTAACCACCCTTTTATTGGAAAAGAAAAAACAATGTGAAAAGCCTGTATAATTTTTAAACTGTTCATGTCACAATACCTTAAAATACACTGAAGTTTGTGGCCGTGTGATCATTTTCCAGGCATTTAAATAGTTTTGGAGGCACCACAGAGCGAAGGCGTAGACATGGATGTTTTCCAGATTGAGATGAACATAAACACAAAAGGAAGACAAGCTGATGTGAGCACTTCAGAAAGGCTCCATGTGGTTAAAGCTGCCGGTTGTTATTCCACTAAAGAGCCTGCGCTGGTGATATATGTCTGCTGAGCAGGAACCACAATAGATAGAAACATTATGGTTTGGCTTAATAAATGCTAAACTACTCACAGCACAGCATGTCGACCAGTCATGTGAGCTCTGCTTAATTTCACTAGTAAAAGCATTCAGCGTCCAATTGGTGTTAGGCCAATGTTATGAAGAGCGTTTGCCAATTACTTCATGTAGTAATTATAATGACCTCTCTCTGTAAAATGTCACTGCTTTTTCCCAATGTGTTTGTGAAAATAAGCATGAAAGCAAACATTTCCGCTCTCCACGGACTACAACAATAATGCTGAATGTTCAAAGCATTTTAACGCAATTAAAAAGTATTTTCATTTTAGCAACTCAATTCACCACGTGTGACATCATACAGAGAAATTACACACAGGCTGATGTTTTTTTGAGGTTTGATTTTTCTTAGCGGGATCAGCCGCATTCTCGGTTTTACTTTAAGAATATCGTGACATTTTAGGGGTGCGGGGAAGAGTACCATTGCTAGGATTGTGGCAGCGTTCTGATCTGAGAGATTCTTTTCAGCAAATGAAGCGACGTGTTCTGACTTCATAACACATGGCAAACAAACAAAACAACGGCTTCGCCAAAAGAAAACGCTTTGGAAATGTTTTGATCCGGTTACGTTTTAAAACTACATTTATGCAGAAGAAAGACGTGGACAAGAGATGACCTCGTAATTTAAGAGATTATGAGACCTTTTGAATGTTTAAAGACATTTTAAATCTTAATTAAATTATGTTTTGATAGATTAGTTTGCTATACATTGAATTGCACATAATTGTTAAAAAAAAAAAAAAGATTTCTCAAATCATTTTTCTTGAATTAGCTTTTTCACACTTTTGAAAGATACTATGTAGCAACAGATTTTGAACAGCATTCCTCTATGCAGGAAAGGGTTTAACTATCCTCAGAGTGGCTCACTTGCTAGTCGAATCTCTGGAAAAGCAGGAAAAAAACTTTATTAGAATAAAAATTGTAAAAAAGAAACAAACTAACCAAAAGCCAGACTTTTTGCCATCATTTGCAACTTGTGATTACACTGCACAAAACGTCTCCATGCCACCCTCCTAACTCTTCGATGCCAGCCTTGGAGCTGCCACATGCTGGAGCGTTTGTGGTAGGCTAATCATTAAGGATAATAAAAAAAAAAAAAAAAGGCAGGTTATATCACCCCAGAGCTGCTTAAATCACCGTCGAGCTGTCCTTTGAGTTTGGGTCCAGACCAGCAGCGATGAGCATGGAGAAGGCCACGGATCAGCAGCCCGACAGACCGACATGGAGCAGGCAGATAGAGTTCACCCTGGCAGGGATCGGCTGCGCTGTGGGTCTGGGGAACGTTTGGAGGTTCCCTTATCTCTGCTACAGGAGTGGAGGAGGTGAGGAAGCAGGCTGCAGATAGAACAGCATTCTCCACATTTTTAGAGGTCTTGAAATCAGGGGGCAAAGTTTAACCACACGCACCTTGGTTTTCTCGTGAAATGAGCTCCGTGCGCGCAGGAATGGGTTTGATAAACTTATTTGAAGCCCTTTAATACCACCTGGAGTGGGGGTTGATTGTTTTATAGTCATAAAGACATATTTTGTAGAGCTAAACCTCACCTGACTTTTACTTTCACAAAAGTTAAAGATTGAAGAGTTGAAACTTACCATCCCTGTCCGCCAGGTGCCTTTCTGGTTCCCTACCTGCTCATGCTGGTGGTGTTGGGGATCCCTCTGCTCTACATGGAGCTGACTGTGGGCCAGTACACCCGGAGAGGCCCGGTTCATGCTCTGGCCACTGTTTGCCCACTCTTAAAAGGTACTTTGCACTCATTCCCCCCATCCCCAATCTGTAAACAAACAAACAAAAAAAAAATCTCTGCTGATTTTTATTGGCCCCTGACGAGTTATGATAATTTGACCCCGCCGCCTTAGCAAGGATAAAAAATTTGGACTTTCTATTTTTAATTTGGGCAAAGTTATTACAGATCTTCTTAAGACAGAAAGCACTGGAAGCAACACTAATTATTTGTCTTTAAACAGCCAGAACTTTTGTATTCTCTTTCAAGGACCAAATGTATCCAGTGACTTTTATTCAAAATCTGACTGTGCAGAAACCAAATGCGCCTTTGATTCGTTTGTTGGACTTGGCAAAAGCAAGCGTTTTCAAAGAAAGAGAGATACAAACCCTGACTTCATTGCTCAGAAATAGCAAGAAAAAAAATCAATTTGATAGAAAATGTGCTATTTTTTAATCATGTAAACTTTTAAATAAGTTTTGTATCTATATTATTTCACACATCCCTTTCTAACAACATACTTGAATTACTTCAATTAAAACTGTGGTATGTATCTTTTATTTTAAAAATGTTATTTATGGTTGTTTTTTTTTTAACTGATCATGTCGTTACAGTCGACAACAAGACAGATAATTGGTGAAAAAAGTTGAACTCCTCTGCATTTTCCTCTCTGTGTGCTAACGCAGAAATACACGACTAAGTTAGAGACAACCAATCAGAGCCAGGGGAAGGGCCATAGCGCCGTCAATCACTTGTGTGCTCACACCCTCCCGCTTACTTATTGCTAAGCTACAGCTGGTTAACAATTGCTAAGGCTAGTTAGGATGTGACAGTGGATAGACAGACGGTTTCCCTGTAACCATGAGTTGTTTTTCCTCCATTAGCACATGGAGCAGCACACAGGAAGCTGATTGGCAGCACTAAGACCCTCCTCCTGTGTCTAATTGGTTGTCCTTGACCAGGAGCTGTGCATTTTTTCAGACCGCAATAGCAGCTTAAGGGAGGAGGATGTGATGAGAGTTTTAATTAATATGAAAATCTGTATGATGACTTTAGCTAAAAAAAAAGAGACTACATCTGACCTTTTTTTTTGTTTTTTTTGTCTAACCTCAGGGGTGGGCATAGCATCTGTGGCCATCTCCTTCATCATGTGCACCTACTACAACATCGTCATCACCTGGGCCCTGTATTACCTCTTCAGCTCCTTCCAGGCGCCCCTTCCGTGGCAGAGCTGCAACAACACCTGGAACACGCCCAACTGCACGGACCACGCCACCAACAGCAGCCACTCGTCCACAGCCAGCCAGGAGTTCTTCAAGTGCGTCCGAGAAGGCGTCGGTCGCTGCTCCCCACAGTGATCCGACCAGACCTCGCTAATAATTAGTGTGCGGCCATGTTACTGAGTAACCTGGCCTTTAGGAGGCTCGCACGAGTTAACGTGTATAAAACACAGCAGCAATCATTAGGAGAAAATTTGAAGCGAGATAAAAGGCTTATTAAAAACGAGTTATCTAAGCCATGTGAGCAGTATTGTATAAAGTGAAGGTCAGTGATAAGGAGCTACGAGATAAAATATGGCCGTGAGTGAAACGTTGAGTCATGATTAACCCTTGACACCGACTCTGAAACGTTTCAGCTCTCTCATTGGGAATTTAGCACAAACAGCTGTCTCATTTCACTTGGAAATGAGACAGCGTTTCTGTGTACTCGTTGACCTATTACCCCCAGGATCTCTCTGTGCTTATGGAAACGTAAACACTGTGTTCTCCTGTAAAGGCTGCCATGCAGAGAAGACATGCTGTAGCTCCCACATGCAGCAGATTATGAATGTAAGGTACCTGGTGCTCTGCAAACACCTTATGTCTTTGTGTTTTTGCATCAAAGGATGCAAAAACACTTTGCTGCATGTAAAGAGGTCTTGAGTCGCGCCCCGTTTCCTGAGTTGAAACCTCAAAAAAAAAAAAAAAAGAAAAAAAGAAAGCCACTGAATTGTGAGATTTTATTTTGACATACACAAACCTGCATTCAGTGCCAGCAGGATGTTTCCCAAAGAGACATTTGCAGAAAACCTTGCAATAGAGTGGAGGAAGCACAGAAGGATGAACTTGTATCTTAAGACGCGAACCAGTCAGAAAAGTGATCCGTCAATTAGCTGTACAGACTCCAACATGGTGCCATGGTTGTAATGGTACATTAAAGTAAAAGTAGGAATTGCAAAGTGTTAACAACCACTTCTATTTCCTTGCTTGTGAAGGTATAAAATGCTGGGCCAGACTGGCGGAGTGGAGGAAACAGGAACCCTGCGGTGGGAGCTTTTCCTCATCCTCATCCTGGCTTGGATTCTCATATATCTGTGCATCTTTAAAGGAGTGAAGTCAACAGGCAAGGTGGGTTTAACCTGCCATTCATGTGGGGCACCCTCATACCAACGGGTCAAACACCAGGTGCTTCATCGTTCCTCGGCTGCTCTAAGTGTGGAACAGGACACACTTAGTGTTAGCGTCATCTGTAATTAGCTTGAATCATAGATATTAATTTTAACTTCACAGGAATAGCAAAGGAAAACAATTATTTGGGTTTTGAAATGCAGAGGCGCCGCATTATTGCAACTACTTGAAAGTGACATCAACCTACAAACACTGAAGTTAGAGTAAACAAGTTCAGGACTTTATGTTTCCCCTCAGACTAGAAGCAGCCATTAGCAGGAAGAGATTATTAGAGTCCCGACTATAAAAAATTGTGTATAGATGGTTTTTCCATGTGTAGTATCATTTAGTTTGTGTCATTTAATGCTCTTAAGTATATATATGCAATATTTAAACATATCGCAATATAAGTGTTTCGTATCAGTCGATACAGATAATTATTGATTTTTTTTGTTACCTTAACCGTGTCAGATTCCCGTTGAGTTAAAAAAAACGATCCTTTTCCGCATTCGCGCTCTTTTCAATTGTTAACCGGAAGTGAAAATAGGCACGCAAGTTAATTTCACGTCGAGAGGCAAAATTAAATTTTATTTTAATTTGCTCAATATATGCTCATAAAAAAAACAAACATCTAATGGTTGCGAAATGAGACGTGTTTTACGAGGGGAAATAACACAAACACACGTTAAAATGTTCAACTTTGATGAGAAAGAAAATAGTAATTTGACATTTTCTATATTTACCTGCCCTCTGTTGGTGCAGGTGGTGTACTTCACTGCTCTGTTCCCATACGTCATCCTCATCGCCCTGCTGATCAATAACGTGCAGCTTCCGGGGGCTTCGGACGGGATAGCTTTCTTCATCGTGCCCGAATGGGACAAGCTGCGGTCCGTGGAGGTCAGAGGGGTCAAGTACGGGGGAACCCGGCTGGAGCGCCAGCCGGAGGAGGAAAATACTCGAGACGGTGTGACGAGACCACCATCTCTGTTTTGCAGGTGTGGGTGAACGCTGCGGCTCAGATCTTCAACTCCATCGGGATTGGCTTTGGCTCGCTGCTGGCCATGTCCAGCTACAACTCCTTCAACAACAACGTTCTGAAGTGAGGAGGCCCGGGTTGATGATGAAAATGGTTAGAAAGCAAGCTGAGGGACGTTTTTCCTGCCTCCACAGGGACACGCTGTTCATATCCATCACCAACTCCCTAACCAGCATCCTGGCGGGCTTCGTCATTTTCTCTGCCTTTGGCTACATGTCTTATCTGCAGGGCATTCCCGTCAGCCAGCTGGCGGTGGACGGTGAGGCAACCCCGGCGCTGTCTTCGGAAACCTCTCACGGTGAAACTGCCGTACTTTCATTCAGTCACTTCAACTGTCACCGACGATCTCCTTGGATCTTGGCAGGTCCAGGACTGGTTTACGTCGTTTATCCACAAGCCTTCGCCAACATGCCGGTGTCCCAGCTCTGGGCTGTCCTGTTCTTCTTCATGCTGCTGTGCCTGGGGCTGGACAGCGAGGTAGACAAACTGGAACCTCTTCACACTAGGTCACAATAACGTCCACAAAGTCCTCACACTTTTTATTTGATTGCTATTCTTAATTAATAACTGGTAAAGTGAGGCGGTATTTAGACATAAGTTGAGTTGATTTGTACATCGCATTTCACCAACAATTCGAAGATCAAAGTGCTCACACCATAAAATCGTAATACAAGCTACAAACATGACTTTTCAAATGCCATCATCAGTACACATCAAATATGTTGATCAGTGTTCTAGTTCGCACTAATCAAAGGTAACTCTAAAACAGGGGTCTTGATTTGAAGGAAGTCTGTGTTTCAGCATCTGTTCAGTTTTCTGGAAGTTTGCTTCAGATTTGTGATGCATAGAAGCTGAATGCTGCTTCTTCTCCATGCGTGGCTCTTATTCTGGGGATGACCTGAGAGGCCTGGAGGGTCGACACAAGCTACTTTCTACTTTCTCCTGACCTGTCCCGCTGTGTTCGTGATGCTGTTTGTTCCAGTGTGTCCTTTGTTTTGGGACAGTTTGCGATGGTTGAGGTGATGGTGACCAGTTTTATGGACGAATTCCAACAACAGCTGATCCGAAGTTTCAAAAGGAAGGAACTGTTTGTTCTTGCAGTCTGCGGTGTGGCCCTCCTGTTAGGAATCCCGTGTGTGATGCAGGTGAATTTTATAGCCTATCAGGCAGTTCTTAACCCAAAACAAATGACCAAGGAGGACCTCCTCAACTGGTTTTTGTGCTTTCAGGTAGGAATTTACGTCTTCCAGCTGATGGACCACTACACCGCCATCGTCTCCATCATGTTCCTTGCATTTTTTGAGATCATAGCCATTTGTTGGAGTTACGGTGAGCGAAAGTTGGCTCTTGCCGCTTACGTGCGTCCATATCCACCCATAGAGACTATCTGTATTTTCTTTGCTCAGGTGTAAAGAGACTTTCAAGCAACATGGAAGAGATGACTGGGCGAAAGCCAAACATCTTCTTCAGGCTGTGTTGGCTCGTAGTTGATCCCGTGCTCATCACCGTAGGTCTAAAAAAAAAAAAAAAAAAAGAGAGAGAGAAAATATCGACATTATCTCCTTGCACTGAGTTTCACACAACTCTTTTCGTCTCTCTGTGCCAGGTCATTCTGATTTTCTCCATCATCCAGTTCAAACCGGCTCGCTATGGAGACTACGTCTTCCCCCCCTGGGCTCAGGGCGTTGGCTGGGTCATTGCTCTGGCCTCCATTATCTGGATTCCTCTGGGTGCAGTCCACACTTTGTGGGTGCTTCCTGGTTCGCTCATGAAGGCGAGTTATACCCCAACTGAAAGTTGTGGTGACAGCCTGATTTATTGACACAAGAAACAAACAAACAAACAAACAAACAAACAAACAGCTACAATAAATTCAGTAAATAAGTGTGTGAGAATGAAAGAGGCTTCAGATGCCTGTATTCAAAGGGAATTTATAGGGGCACCAACATTTGTGCAATTTTTGTTTATTTATTTACTAGTGTGCAATGCATGCGTCATAGAAAGCAAGGTAAAAAAAAATTTGCTGCATGTCTGTTACAGAAACTGAAGCTATCGATCACACCCTACGCCCTGAAATCCTCTGAAGGTCTTTATAAGGAATGGGGAGGAGGGGCAGGAGAACCGGACATATCCGTCATCAGCTCCAGCACCAGCCTACCTGAGAAAAAGTCCGCCGAGACATACTTCTGAGACAGACATTTAGTGTTTTGCTCAAAACACTTTGAAAAACTCCAGCCAATCAGAAACGAATTGCCAAGTCCTTGAATCTTACTCAGGAAGTTAAACAGAGGGATTTTTATTAAAATGTATATTGTTTTGTTTTTTTTATCTGCCTTGCAGATGGGTGAAAAATAACCGGTTATTGTCATTTCAGTTATTCAATTTGTGGGCTTCTCTTGCATTTCACCGGCTTTATTTATTGGCGACTCGGAACGAGTGCGCCATCTTTTGGTCGAACCTGTGCAACACACTGTGTCGGATCATTTTTAAAGCGTCGTTTCGGTGTTAGAAAACAGGATGATATGACGGTTTAACATTTTCCACTTTTTAATGCCAACTCGAATGGATTTTGAGACCTAAAAATATATTGCATATGTAGCGTAGTTAATCCTGCGTTGTCTTTTTGAGGCAAGAAAAGCCAAACAACAGCTGATGTGCAGATGATTTTAATGCACCTGCATTCAAATGGCAGAAAATAGTATCAATCAGAACAGTGTACTTTTCAGTCCCGCACAGCGCCTTCTCCCACGGAATCCGAACAGAAAGAGCGCAAGTGCGTGTGACTTAAGTAAAGTAACACATTTACTTTATGAAATAAAAACAATTGCATTAATAAGTAACTGAGCCCAAACATGGGCATATTAACCTTAAACAGTACATTAATGAAAACCAAATAAAATACCATAAATAGTAATGAAACATCACATACCTGCATTCAAATGGCAGAAAATAGTATCAATCAGAACAGTGTACTTTTCAGTCCCGCACAGCGCCTGTTCAACCATGAACAATACTATCTTCAGCACATGCACATACGATTTGTTAGCAAGTTTCATGTATAAAACAGCTAGCTAACTGTTAGCTACTAGCCTTAATTTAACAGGTTAATTTATACTACAATAACAATACACATTATTTTACAAAAAACTGCGATAAAACCATCACTTAATACACTAACATACACTTATTAAACACAAAACGAAACTTCATACCTTCTCCCACGGAATCCGAACAGAAAGAGCGCGACCGAGAGTGTGGGGAAAACCTTTCACAGCCTACAATGGTATGATCCACTAATTTATATTTTTAAACTCCAAACTGATACTAGAAATAATGACCCATGAACTAAATATGTTCAACAGCAACAACAATAATTCCCATTTCTATTTACAACACATGAAAGTTTAATAAAATAATAATTTGGAGACAGGAAGTTACCCGCTGGATTACAATGGATCTGTCGTCCTTTCAAAATAAAGCTGCCGGTGCTCAGAATTTCCCATCGGAACACCCTCCCACTTAACAATCTAGTGTAACAACATCACATCGCTACACATAAATAAATACGGACGTTGGTGGGGCAATCCCTACTGCATTACAGGCGAGGTTAGCAAAAACGGCGACATTTCTGGGGCCCGTTTGTGCTTCTGACTCCGCCTGTGGCTCTCTACGGCTTAAAAGTTGTTTTCCCCCCTCACGGAATGCAACTTGTTGCTCGATAACAGAAGATATTTAGTGACAAGTGACGTCGTTTACCCATAACATACGTAAAAAAAGCTAATTAGCTAGCTAGCAAGATATTTTAGCTGCTAGCTACAAGTAGCTTCGAGTCACAGATGTCTGCACGCGACTTAAATTTTTGGCCGATTAAAAAGTCAAATGAGCATATTTAAGGCTATCTCACATGTCGAAGACATTCTAATTTAATTCACTTTTTAAAATGTAGTTAAATTTTTGATAAATGTATGTAAGGCTTCTTAAAGATGGCGGACACCTGGTGCTGCCGTTATCTTAACTGCTGCTGACTCATTTATTAGGTCAAACACAACAGGGAACTGCAGATAGCACTAATTGGTCATGTAACCTTATAATAATATAATAAAAAGATCTTTGACCAAAGTCCACTTTGTGTAGTGTTTCAATGCTAGGATTTTCTTTTAAAAAAAGGCACACATTACACAACACAAATACCATGAGGGGAACAGTATTTATTTTGTTTATTAAGTACATGAGAAAATTCCGAAAAAGATAACATGTTGCACAGCAAGCTTCCTTTTCTGAACCCCACAGTGCAGAACAGATTCTACACAGGCAAACAGGTGGACAGTATTTAAAACCAGTGTGCATAAAACAACAAAGACATGTTTCCCTAAATGCACCCTGAACATTTGTAAAGAGTCACCAGATCCAAAACCAGGGCAACTGAATGCGTTTGTGAAATGAGTTAATAATGGAGTGGGATGTACAAACTGTTTCTGGTTACTCACAGTAGGTATGACATAGTATTGTCTAGGATTAGTTTGTGTAAGACCACCCTATATCTGCAATTAGATGTCATTAGAGTATTTATTTAAAAAAAGACAAACAAAAGAAAAAAGTTTTCCTACAAACAGCAATTATTTCAATTAAATTTCCAAAAGATATGCCATGTGACCTACAAAAACAAAACGAACAAAACAAAACAGAATGTGCAATCAATGACATATTCCCTCTGAGGTGTCAGCCGTGCAGATGACCACACAGCGCAGCAGCAACTCTGTCCCAATTTGTTCCTACTTCACTTCAAAGTCGGCTCAGCTCAGGACTGAGACCAGCAGCTGACAACGTTGCTGTTCAGTAGTATTTTTATTTTTTTGTAGTGGTTTACAGAGTCCATGCACTTTATTCCTCGCACAGCCTCTTTAAGGCTCCAGCACTTCTTGGTTCAGCTCCTATAGACCCCACACACACCTCCCTTCCTCCCTTCCTTCCTTTTTTTCTTCCTTCCCACATGGCCAGCAGAGGGCGCTAAGAAGTCATGGTGGCTGCCTTCCAGTGTCACTGCTATAATACCTGCTCCACTGGTCTCATCTGCACATCTCCGATCTGACAGAAGAAAATGGAAAGAACACACAAAAAAATGGGAGAAATTAACTTTAAAACTTCCGGATCAAAATATGAACAAATGACAGAGAAACATACCTGAACATGAGGAGGGGCACTGAGGACAAACGTGACTGCACTGGCTACATCCTCTGCTTTCAAGCACTAAAAACAAAAAATAGAGAATCATCCCTGTTGCAGCAGTAAATGACATTACCAAATCAAACTGTTGTGAGAAACACACAAAAACGCTTACCTTTATACTCTCATAGACAGCTGCTGCTTTCTCTGGATCACTGTTGTGATGTCGGAAGGCAAACTCGGTCTCCACTATTCCGGGAGATATACACTGCAGGGACAGATAAACCATCACTGCTCAAGGTTCATTCCTCTTTCTATTCCACCCAGGCTGCCTCTAGTGAGAGTTATGACCTTCATTTGCTACTGACAGCGACCCCCGCCCCCAGTCCCTTCCACGCCCTCCATCTTAGTGGCGAAGTGATGGCCGCTCACTCACCGTGGCTCTTATGTGGGTCTTTTCGGCCCGGAGCTCTTGCCGAATCCCCTCGGTCAGCGCAGTCACTGCGTATTTAGTGGCACAGTAGAAATGCTCATCGGCACTCGGCACAAGTCGATGCCCGCCCATGCTTTAACAGGTCAAGAGAGAGAGGAGAGAAGGAAGGAACAGGTAAATAATAATATCGCACAGCTTCGCCTAAGTTCAGGAACAAATTAGCCACATGTATAGCTAATGTTTTAAAAGCTGCTCCGTATACCAAATTCAATTCAATAAAGACAGTAAAAAGGGCTTAATCGTTATAAATAAAGGTTCAAACAGTGTGGAGCAAACCGTATTTCCCCCATATACATTGATTAGGACTTTGTCTCTAAAAACTTTGAGTTACTTTCTGAAATTCCGCCTTCAGGAAGTCATTATGACCTCACTCCTCTATTAATAACCCTTCAACAATGTTTTCAACCAGTGTTTCACTGAGAAGCAGTAAAACACTGAGCTCAGCAGAAGCTCAGTTCCACCAAGTGCTTGCTAATTCCTGCTGGCTAGTCTCAAGGAGCTGAGTGGTGAGGGCAGCTCTGTAATGCAGAAGCTCTGAAGCCTGGATACTGCAGCTTCAAGGAGGAGTTGCATGCTGAAGGTGGCGCTCAGTCCACTCAGGCGTTTTGCACAGCTGAATGGTTGCCACGGGAGACTGGATTTTCATGAAAGAATCAAAGCAACACCCCTGGTATGTTTTTGACGAGGGAGTGAAATTATAACATAATGTAAAGCTCAAAAACACTGTCCCTTTGATAAATGAAATTATCTGGAGGCTGCATTTTAGATTTGCTCAGGTTAACTTTATCTGGAATCAAAAGCTGGTGAACAAAGTGAAAACAAAACAAATCTGTAAGGGGTCAAATACGTTTGCAAACCACTGTAAGAAGGAAAAATTTTAAGTCGATATCTGTCCCTCCCATTGATTTCTGCATGTGCCAGACTTTACCTTTGTTAATCCATGGTTAAAAATCCACCATGAACAAACAGTCCTTTTGTCCCCAGATTGATTGAACGGCTCACCTGTTGATATTGATGATGTGGCCGTCATCCACGTCCCTCTCTTTCATTGACTTGTAGGCCTCGCGGGTGCAGATGGACAAGGCTAAGACGTTCACCTGCAGACAAAGTGAACACCGTCTTCAGCTACTTATTCTAAACCTGGATGTGAAGTTGTAATGTAAAGCATTCATACTCAATATGCAATCGAAAGGACTAGACTTAACACAAACATGCTTTGATTGGTTGTATGTTTGGGGTTGTTGTCCTGCCTGTAGTGGAACCTCCAGCAGGACAACATACATTTTCCTTCAGGATAATTTAGCTCAATCAACATTGCTGAGGAAAAGCCTTCATATTGGATGATGATGCCGCCGCCATGTTTCACTGAGGGGACGTGTGTTCATGCTAATGTACGGTGTTATACTTTGCATCTCGGCCAAAAAGGTCAATTTTGGCCTCCACTGAGAAATGGTTCCTTATGGGAACTATTCAGTTTGACTTCTTATAATTATCAAGAACATAATTTCTTTCAGATAAACTTTTCAGATTTTTTTAAAGAAAATAATAATAAAAAAACAGAACATTGTGTCATACTTTCTTTTCTCTTTCCCGGTTATGTTCTTTAGTTGGTCATTACATAAAAAATGTCTTTGTCACATGACCAACCCCATCCAGAAACAAATGACAACAAAGTGGAAATAAATATTGGTTGTCCTGAAGAAGACCATGACAGATTTCACATGTTAGTTTCGGTCGACTGCCGATCACCCGATTTATCGGTGGACCCCGATTGTGGCTACGACGGGGTGTGAATACTTTTCCAAGGCGCTGAAACATCCTCAGGTGTCTCGTGTTCAGGTAATGGCCGCAGAGTTAAACCCTGTGAACCGGCTGCGCCTGTCCAGCTTCTGTCCTCTAAGCTTTTGTCCCACGGTGACACTGACTGACATCAGTTTA